ACCACTGTCCAGAAAAAAAAGAAAAAATTTAAAAAAGAAAATTAAGGCTGGGCTTGGCTTGCACCTGTAATCCCAGCACTTTGGGGAACTGAGGCGGGCAGATCAGTTGAGGCCAGGAGTTTGAGACCAGCCTCGCCAATATGGTGAAACATCGTCTCTACTAAAAATACAAAAATTAGGCATGGTGGTACATGCCTGTAATCCCAGCTACTCAGGAGGCTGAGGCAGGAGAATCGCTTGAACCCGAGAGGTAGAGGTTGCAGTGAGTTGAGATTGCACCATTGCCTGGGCGACAGAGCAAGACTCTGCCTAAAAAAAAAAAAAAAAACGGATACAACACACCACACACAAAAAAAACAAAAAGGAAAAGGAAACTTAAAACAATAAATGGATGTGGGCCTTTGATTTGCTGTTGTCTATGTGAGGCCCCTGTGCATGGGGATTTCTAAACATGTTCTTGAATCCTCTCAAAACCCGAGCTTGAAGGGTTGGTGGCGTCTCCCTGGGTGTGACAGGGGTGTGGTCACTACAGTCTGGCGTTCAGCAACACAAAAAAATATAGAAAATGGGGGTCTCCGCTATGTTGCCCAGGCTGGTCTCCAAACTCCTGGGCTCAAGGCTCTCTTGTCTCACGCCTCCCGAAGTAGCTGGGAATGCAAGGTAACACACTTCCACCCAGGCTAGCAAACTGTTTTTTTTTCTTTTGAGACGGAGTCTCGCTCTGTGCCCAGGCTGGAGTGCAGTGGCCAGATCCTTCTACCGCTCACTGCAAGCTCCTGCCTCCGGGTTCGCGCAATTTCCTCTCTGCCTCGCGCTCCCGAGCAGCTGGCGCTAACATGGCAAACGCACACCGTTGCCCGGCTAGTTTTTTTTGTATTTTTAGTAGAGACCGGGGTTTCACCGTGTTAGCCAGGATGGTCCTCGATCTCCTGACCCTTGTGATCCGCCCGTCTCGCCTCCAAACGTGCTGGGATTACAGGCTTGAGCCACCGCGCCCGCCCGCAACTGTTCTTCTAAATGAATAAATCAACTTAGTCAATTTTGAAGGGGAAAATGAGGCTTGAGAGAGACTTTGATGGACATATTCAGACATGGGACTTGCGGAAGTTTTATAGTTTTATAGATTCTCTAGTTTTTTTCTTGAGACAGAGTCTTGCTCTGTCACCTAGGCTGGAGTGCAGTGGCGTGATCTTGGCTCACTGTAACCCCTGCCTCCCAGCCTCAAGCAATTCTCCTGCCTCAGCCTCCCAAGTAGCTGGGACTATAGATGCGTGCTACCATACCTGGCTAATTTTTGCCTTTTTAGCAGAGACGAGGTTAAATGTTAGGCAGGCTGGTGTCGAACTCCTGACCTCACGTGATCCGCCTGCCTCGACCTCCCAAAGTGCTGGGATTACAAGTGTGAGCCACTGAGCCCGGTCTTTTTTTTGTTTTGTTTTTCTTTGAGATGAAATTTCACTCTTGTCACCCAGGCTGGAGTACAATGGTACGATCTCAGCTCATGGCAACCTCCACTTCCAGGGTTCAAGTGATTCTCCTGCCTCAGCCTCCAGAGTAGCTGGGATTACAGGTGCCCGCCACCACGCCCAGATAATTTTTTTATTTTTAATAGAGATGAGGTTTCACCATGTTGCCCAGGCTGGTTGCAAACTCCTGACCTCAGGTGATCGGTCCACCTTGGCCTCCCAAAATGCTGGGATTATAGGCGTGAGCCACTGCACCTGGCCAGATTCTTAGTTTTGGATGGGCCAAGACCTCGTGCCTCTGATACAGTCATTTTCCATATCATATTTTTGTTTCTGGGGTTCTGCAGAGGGCAGCGTGATTTCATCACTTGAACACTTTGTGGAACTGGGCAGGAAGCACTCTGTCCATTTAATCGATGGGCAAACTGAGCCTCCCCCAACTGGGCCCTGTGCCTCCTCGGGTTGGGGTGGATAACAGCAAAACAGTGCAGGGAGTGGGGAAGCTCTGGGAGGCCTTGATCAGAGCGCTCTGGCTCTGCTACTTTCCAGCTTGGTGGCCTCCTGCATCCTCATGTGGGCAGGGGGATTATGAGACCTGCTGCTGGGTTGGGATGAGGTGGATGAAGGTGCTGGGCAAGTGTGGGATTGATTTTCTGTGGGGACTCGAGTGGAATGTTTCTCTGTTGGCTCAGGGGGAACTTGAGGTTAAGAACATGGACATGAAGCCGGGGTCAACCCTGAAGATCACAGGCAGGATCGCTGATGGCGCTGATGGGTGAGCAAGGTTTCAGGGTGTGGGGAGTCTGCAGGCCTGGAACAGGCAAGGCAGGAGGGGCAGGAGGGGCGGGCAGGGCAGCCCTGTGAACTGGTCAGGCAAGAGGGACTTCAGGCCAATGGGCCCTTTTTCACACCCTTCTCCCCACACCCCTGTTGGCCCCCACTTCATGTCTGAGGCTAGGTTTGGGGACCTGAAGAATTTCAGAGTTGATGCCATATGCTCTGTTCTTTTGCCCCAACAACCATTGAAAGGGCAGGTGGAGAAGTCCCTGGAACTCTGCCTGGCCCCCTGCGGGGCAGGTGCCTCTAGGGAACCCCCAAATCCCCAGAGACACCACCCTCTTTACCCAGTGGAATGGCCACAGGCTGGCCTTTCATGCGCATTAAACCTGGGCAGCCACCAGGGAAGGCTGAGTGGTCTCGCTGGCATCCTCTTGGTTGGAACCAGAAGCCTCACCGCCTCCGTGAGTCACAGTCCAGTGAAGGGCTGTCTCGCCTGCAGAACATGTTAGTGCATCTTGGAACTATGCTTTATCTACTTTTTTTTTTTTTGAGATGGAGTCTCGCTCTGTCGCCCAGACTGGAGTGCAGTGGCCGGATCTCAGCTCATTGCAAGCTCCACCTCCCGGGTTTACGCCATTCTCCTGCCTCAGCCTCCCGAGTAGCTGGGACTACAGGCACCTGCCACCTCACCCGGCTAGTTTTTTGTATTTTGTAGTAGAGACGGGGTTTCACCGTGTTAGCCAGGATGGTCTCGATCTCCTGACCTTGTGATCCGCCCGTCTCGGCCTCCCAAAGTGCTGGGATTACAGGCTTGAACCACCACGCCCGGCCCTATGCTTTATCTACTTTTGATTAGAGAGAGGGCGGGCAGATGCACATCATAGGAGCTAAGAGAAAAGTGACTTCTTTCTCCTACTTGGGCCCCTGAAGTTTGCCAAAATGTGTGGTACCCTTGGTCTGAGACTCCTGAATGAAGGCACCCCATGACCCAGAATGCCCCACTTTCAGGAACCCTGCAGGTCGAGGCCAGGATCCTGTGGTGATCTTGCCTAGAAGTCATACAACCCCGGTTGCATACCTGTAGTGACGGGGAGCTCACCACCTTAGGTTGGCTGTTTGTGGCTAAATTTAATAGGTCTTCAGATATCTAATAGATAGCATTTCTCTCTCCCAGGAGAGCCACCCCCAATTCCTGAAGCTGTCAATATAAGTTACCCTTCTCTCAACAGCTTGATCCCTGCTCCAAATGGAATGTGCTACCACAGTGCTAAGTCTGAGCAGGTTGTTACCTCCCTTGTTTTAAGGCATAGATCTCAACTAACACAAGCTTTGGTTCTTCCAGCTTGTGGCCAACCAAGATCCTCTAACCCAAGCTGCTTTATCCAGGCCTGAGCCCTGAACCTCACCTGCTACCCCTTCTCCTACAGCTTTGTAATTAACCTGGGCCAGGGGACAGACAAGCTGAACCTGCATTTCAACCCTCGCTTCAGCGAATCCACCATTGTCTGCAACTCACTGGATGGCTGCAACTGGGGGCAAGAACAACGGGAAGATCACCTGTGCTTCAGCCCAGGGTCAGAGGTCAAGGTGAGGTCAAGAGGGGAAAGGGCACTGGGGATGATGTCAAGGGGAGGGCCCAGATGGAAGGGAGCCTGGCCTGGGCACAGGCGCTGGCCTTGTTTGAGCCATCAGGCACTGCCCTGGTCCATTTCCAGGGCCTCCTGCCTCCTTGACATCCTCCTTCCCACAGTTCACGGTGACCTTTGAGAGTGACAAATTCAAGGTGAAGCTGCCAGATGGGCATGAGCTGACCTTTCCCAACAGGCTGGGCCACAGCCACCTGAGCTACCTGAGCGTGAGGGGCGGGTTCAACACGTCCTCTTTCAAGTTAAAAGAATAAAAGACTAACAACCGAGATTCCCCGTCTGAGGTCTGAGTCACAACAGGATCAACAGCCCTTGGGTCCTGGGTGTGTCCCCCTATCTCTACCTGCAGTTCCTGCCCCAAGGCTAAAAGCAAACAAAATAATCCATTTTTATGAAGTCTTCCTGTGGCAAGAACTGCGGTTCAAGACTTCTTTCTCTCCTGGGTCCCTCGAGTTTACCAAAACATGGGATACCTCTGGTCTGAGGACCTCTGAATGCAGGCACCCCATGATCCAGAATGTCCTGCTCTCAGGGATCCTGAGGTCCCGTAGTGATCCTGCCACACATCCTCTGGTTGCACACCTCTAGTGACAGGGAGCTCACTACCTGACGTTGGCTGTTTGTGGCTAAATTTAACTGGTCTTCTGATACCTAAGGAGGGCATTTCTCTTTCTATGCATTTTAATGCTCCTGGCATTTCCAAGATACTGAGGAGGAAACTGAGATACGAAGACACCCGGCTGCCACGTTGGGAGGCTGAGACATGCTCCCAACAGTTCTACGCACTTGTTCCTGTCTACTTGCCCCCACTATCGCCAGAGCAAATGCCACGCTACTCTGTGGGATTATGGGACAGACACCAGTCCCAGGCACCTGGGCCAGGAGCTGTTCCCGGAACTGCAGATAAGGCTCCCACCTGGGTCTCTTATCTCAGGGGCATTCCAGCCTGGTTACTCATTACCCTCCCCTTGGTGCGTCTACTTCCCTCCCCTGCTGGGGGCCTTGATTGGGGGGGTCCTTGGCTTTCTAAACTCCCTGGAGGGGAGGGGACTGAAGCAAGTAGAGCTGATGCTGTTCTCCCTGGTCCCCAAGCATCTTGCAGGACACCTTTTATCAAAACAGCCTTATTTAATCAGGCCCCAGAGGCAAGTCTGGGGTATACAGGCGGGTGGGATTCCTCCCCGGGAGGTCATACCTGACCTTTCTGGGGTAAGAGGGAGGCTGGGGCGGGGATGTTGCGGAAGCGGCCTGGGAGAGGGCTGTCAGGGTTACAGCGGGGACGCTCTGGGATGAGCTGGGGGCAGGCGGTTCCTTTGGGAGGTGGGACAATGGCCCTGTGTGGTACACTCCCTGCCCCCTACCCCCCACAGGCAGCTTAGTCTGGCACAAAGGCCACACTGTGAGGCTGGGCCCTCCAGCTGGTGGGGGTGGCGTGGAGTGGGGCCTAAGGAAGAGCTATTAGGTCCAGAGTGGCAGTGGGAGGAGGTGGTCAGCTTGGCAGGGCCTCTGGGAGCATCCAAGTCCCAGAGCAATCCTGGCCTTCCCTGTCTTCCCTCCCATGTCTGTCCTGCAGAGGTGGAGAGGGGTTTAGGGGCAACTCGGCTTCTCCCCTCTCTGGTCTGGTAGGAACCAGCTGTTAGGTGAGGGGCCGGCTCTGCACCTAGGTGGGGCCCCGGGACCATGTCCCAGCCCCTCACACCTTGACCTCATCATCCTCCTCAGCATCCGCAAATTCAAAGGTGTTTGCTTGCACCGTGCTGGGCACCGGGGTCCTGCTGTGTGCCTGGGGTGCCCTCCACTCTTCATCCAGGCTTTCCCAGGAGGCCCGGGCTTGGGGCAGCACCTCCACCCGCTCCTGCCGCGCATCCATCTCCGGGTAGTGGCGGCCACCACCCCAGCCTGCTCCCCAGTGCCTGTCGAGGGCAGGGCCAGCAGGTCCTCGTGGACCCCCTCCCACTGGGCTGGCCTTCACCTCAGCCACTGGGCCCAACCGAGCTGTTACCCCATTGGGACAGTGTCCATGGGGTGTGGAGCTTGTGGCAGGGGCTGGGGGGTTTGCAGCAGGACCCGGGTGGGTTGTGGCAGGGGCCGGGGGGTTTGCGGCAGGACCCGGGGGGTTTGCAGCAGGGGCTGGAGTCTCAGCTGCAGGGGCTTCCGGGAGGCTCATGACCCCTAGCAGCTCGCTGAGGAGTGAGGGCCCAAGGTCGAGGTCCAGGCGGAAGGACAAGAGAGAGTCTGAGCGGCGAAGCCCGGGCTCAGAGGGGAAGGAACCATCCCGGTCTCGGTCATGCGGCTTTTCCGAGCGGGGCAGGCGGGAGATGGTGCAGAACCCAGAGTCCAGGCCTAGAAGAGAAATGGGCAGTGGGCTCAGAGCTGGGGTCCCTCACCAGGAATTCAGGAGGGGAGACAGGAACAGTCCTGGCTTGCTGTGTGGCTTCTGGCTAGTCCCTCCCCTCTCTGGCCTCAGTTTCTCCCATCTTTCCAATAGAATATGCTCCATGGTCACCTGTGTGATCTTCCTGTCTACCCTGAAAGCTGAAAATCATCATTATCCTCATTTCCATTATGCAGATGAGGAAAGTGAGGCTCAGTTTGGGATGGGGCGAAGGGGCTAGCCCAAGGCCATAGAAGTCTGATGAGGTGAAATCAAGCCTGGAGCTCAAATCTCCTCTCAGTCCCAATTGTGACCTCAGCCATGGCCACCGGCTCCCTGCCATGACCCTGGTTGATGGCTGCAGGTGAACCCATAGCACGTGGGCTGGTTTGTGGACACAGCATGGGACCAGCAGCCAGGGTCTGACTGTATAGAAATGAAGGACAGATATGTGCCTTCCCAAAGTCACCTAGTCCAGCCCATGCTTCCAGGACTACAGACCTGAGACAGAATCGAGTTTCTGTGGACCAGTCCTCAGTGTGTTTCTGAGCAGCTGCCTGGGGCAGTGGCGTTAGAGCATTTGCCCCAAATGCTGCAAGGCAGGGAGTGGCCACCAGGTGGCAGCAGGGGCCCATGGTTCTCAGGTAAACTGTGCCCAAACCGCCAAGGTGGCACTTCTGGCTGGGCAAGAAGGCTCCTGAGTTGTAGTCCCTGTGAGTGGTTTTCCAAATTTGTCGAGTTACAGGAAATTAAGTTCAGATAACAACAGCTCCAGTGTCCTGAGCACCTACTATGTACCAGTCCCCCTACGCCTCTCCTGGCACTGAATCTTAGCAATGACCCCGAGAGAATCATTATCCAGGTGAGGACTTGAACTTACAGAGGTCAGTTGACTTCCTGAAAATCAGGCAGAACTGGATTGGAATCCAGAGCCCAGGCCCTTCACCTCTCCATGATATCATTCCAACATGAGGGGAAGGCTTTGGTTGAAGGGGGCAAGAATGGGTGGATGACTGGTTCAGTCGAGGCCCAGAGAGGGGGACGTGCTTGCCCAGGTCACACAGCAAGTAAGGGGCAGCCAGAACTCAAACTCCACCTCCTCATTCTCAACCTCAGGTGTTCTGGGAAGTCAGCTTGTTCCCACCACTGCACCCCCTCCCCATCCTTGATGTGGGGTTTGGGCCTGCCTTCTGTGGTGAGACCAAGGGACCCGGGCAACAGAGCTCACTTGGAGTTTGGAGGAACCACTGAACCCCTCTGGGCCTCAGTCTCAGCCTCTGAAAAGTGGGCCGAGATAACCCAGGCCCTCACCGTAGCTGGAGTGGCCGTCCGTGGAGCTGCTGGGGCTGCCGTCGAAACTGAGCTTGCCAACCACGAGGCTGTCGTAGGCGGCCTGGTTGAGCTGGGGCAGGGAGATGGCATTCTTGATGATGGGGGAGATGGCCGGTGGAGCCGGGGAGGGTGCAGGGGGAGACGCCATCCTCCGGGGCGGCGCCCCCACCCTCCGCACCAGCTGCAGCTTCTTGGCCAGGAAGTTGCGGGGTGAGCGATGGGTGCCCCTGGAGCTGCCACCGTGGTTGCTGAGGAAGGAGGTGTCCCCGAAGACGTCCCCACCACGGCCCACATGCATGGTGTGGCGGAAGTCCCCGAGCGGGGGGCTGATCATGTCTGCAGTCAGCCGCCTCTTTCCCTGTGAACTGGACCCCCAGACCACAGGCGAGAGCTTGCCCAGGCTCATGGTGGGGGCGCCGCCGCCCCCCTGGGGGCCGGGCATCAGCTCTGGCCGCTCACAGCTGCTAGTCCATGTCCACCAGGGGCCGGGGGAGGGAGGTGGGCCGGGCTCGGGATGGCTGCTCAGCTCCTTTGCCCTGGCGGAAGCTGTAAATGACACTGTCCTAAAGTGAGGTCACCGAATGCTGAGGCTGTGGGGGGTCCATGGCTCGCCTCTCCCCGGGGCCGGCTGCCAGCCCCCCGGAAGCAGCTGTAGATGTTCAAGCGTAGAGAAAGCACCCCCGCGGTGGTTGGCTTCTCTCCTGCCCAGGGGTGGAGACCTGGAAGGAAGACAGAAAGGGCAGTGATGGCAAGCCCAGGACAGAGGAGGAAATCTGGGGTCCAAACATTAGTAGCTGAAAAGGATAGATCATCACACCCCACCACATGGATAGAGGCCCCCAACTGATATGGGGCAGAAGCTAGGCACAAGGGGACCCGAGTGAGTCTGTGTATAGAAAGTTCAAGAACACAGCCAGGCGCAGTGGCTCACGCCAGTAATCCCAGCACTTTGGGAGGTTGAGGTGGGTGGCTCAACTGAGATCAGGAGTTCAAGACCAGGCTGGCCAACATGGGGAAACCCCGTCTCTACTAAAAATACAAAACTCAGCCGGACGTGGTGGTGCGCGCCTGTAATCCCAGCTACCTGGGAACCTCCAGCAGGAGAATCACTTGAACCAGGGAGGCAGAGGTTGCAGTGAGCTGAGATCGCACTACGACACTCCAGCCTGGGCAACAAGACCAAAATTACGTCTCAAAAAAAAAAAGAAAAGAAAAAAAAAGAAAGTTCAGTAACAGGCAAAACCAATTGATGCCATTAGCAATCAGAATGATAGCAGCCTCTGAGCAGATACTGACTCAACAGGGGATGAAGAATTCATCGAGCTATACACTTAAACCATGTATAAGGGAAAAATAGAAGCGCTCATTCCAAGTCTGAGCAACATAACGAGACCTGGTTTTCACAAAACATTTTTAAAAAATTAGTTGGGTGTGGTGGTGTGTGCCTGTGGTCCTAGCTACTCAGGAGGCTAAGAAGGGAAGATCCCTTGAGCCCAGGAGGTCAAGGCTGCAGTGAGCCATGATTGTGTCACTGCACTCCAGCCTGGGCGACAGAGTGAGACCCTGTCTCAAAAAAAAAAAGAAAAGAAAAAAGTGTTTATTCTGCAGGGCCCACTTATGAAGCACTTACTAAGTGCCAAGACCTCACCTGCCTCATCATTTAAACCCACATAATACTCCTGAGGGGCTGGGCGTGGTGGCTCACGCCTGTACTCCCAGCACTTTGGGAGGCCGAGGTGGGGGAATCACGAGGTCAGGAGTTAGAGACCAGCTTGGTGGTGCTGGTCTCCACCATGGTGAAACCCCGTCTCTACTAGAAATATAAAAAATTAGCTGGGCATAGTGGCGGGCACCTGTAATCCCAGCTACTCAGGAGGCTGAGACAGGAGAATTGCTTGAACCCAGGAGGCGGAGGTTGCAGTGAGCCGAGATTGCACCACTGCACTCCAGCCTATGCGACAGAGTGAGACTCTGTCTCACAAACAACAACAACAACAAAAACATTACTCCTGAGGGCAGCATGGTATCAGTTAGAGAGGGGAAACTGAGGCACGAAGTGAAGTAACTTGCCTGAGGCTACATAGCAAGACATGGTGAAACAGACCCCACATCCCAGAGCCCTGGGGCCCCAGGCTACTCTGCCTTCTGCTGAGTAACTGAGTAAGTCACCTCCCTTCTCTGTGCATTAAAATCTCTGCCACACAGCGAAGCCAGGAGGGAACAGATGCCTCACCAAGGCTTTGTGAAGCTGGGTAAACAGCCAGAGCAGAGGTTCCTCCAAACCATCCACCTTCAAGGAGCTTCCTGGAATAAGGATCCTGTGGTCAAAAGTGGCTTTTTCCAGCTGCCTCCTCCATGCGTGAGCATATTCAAGGCTCTGAGAAGGCCCGCAGGAAAGGACTTTATCACAGTTTGTCAAATTGATGTAGGAGCCTTGTTGTCCGGGAGCAAGCTTTGGAAAAAGCTCAGCTGGTGCCAAAAGCTATTTCTTGCCCATCTCTCCCTCCCTGATTCCCCATCCCCACCATACACACAATCTTCCCCAGCTCCAGCCTCTTTAAGCATTTCTTGTTCTGACCCCTTTCCTTCTGACCCCTTTTCTTCCAGTATCATACAAAGTCCAGGCTAGAGCGCACCTGTGATCCTATGCTTTTCCTGTGGCCCACTGAGGGCAAAGCTGGCTCAAGGTCAGATCCACAGAGCTAGTCGAGACTTGAACTCAGAGCCTCTGACTCACATAAGTCCTTGACTGGCTTGTGGAGCCCTGTCTCACCTCCTGAGATCGGCAATGCACTTGGAGGGTGGGGCAGTCGCCTGGATTTTCCTGCCTTTCTCCCTGGGGCATCCAGCTTGGGCTCTGCACTTAGCAAGTGCCAAATCAATGCCAGCTGAATCACAGATCTCCATGATAACCTGCATGCCAAAACATCACCCTGGTCCATTCTGAGAGTGGGAGGGCAGGCTGGGCTCGGTGTCCTCACGGTGTGACCTTGGGCAAGTCACCTACCTACACAGACCTGGGACCTCAGCTGATGAAAGTCAATAGTGATCCTTAACAAGAACACCCACATCTGTGGCTCAGCCTTCTTCCTTTTTGAAAACCATTGCTGCCACCTCCAAGCATAAAAATCTCAATACTGCCCTTCTAGTGTTATTTGAAATTCAAAATAGGTTAAATAACAAGATAAGAACAAAGAAGCCAATAGGACAAAGCTAGCTTTGTTTTCTGACTACATTCTCTTCCCTTCCCACCATCTGATCCTCCCCCAACCCTAACTCCTCCCCCTTGGAGGGGAGGAACTTCTGAATCATCTTTTTCCCTCCCTGGCACCCCCGGCACCGAGAAGTAAGTCCTCGTGGAATGTTTGCTGAAGTTCTGAAGCGCTCCACAGTTGGCCAACCATTACATGATGTCATCTGATTCTCCAACAACCCTGCAAAGCCACAGCTTGGCCCATTTGACAGGCAGCGCTGAGGTTCGGAGGGAAGGGAGACCTGTCCAACGTTACGTGACAGGTTCATGGCAGGGCCAAGTTTCCCTGCTCAGCAGGGATTAACGATGCATCTCTAGGGGAAGGAATGGGAGTGGGGAGGGTGTTCCTCTGTAGAAAGCCCTGTAGAAGGGTCTGCCATGTGGCCTCACCCACTTGCTCCCACCCCAGCTCCCTGACTTTTTTTTTTTTTTTTTTTTGATGCAGGGTTTCACTCTGTCACCCAGGCTGAGTGCAGTGGCTCCATCACAGCTAACTGCAGCCTCGAACTCCCAGGCTCAAGCGATCCTCCCACCTCAGCCTCCTGAGTAGCTGGGACTACAGGCGCATACCACCATGTTCAGCTAAGTTTTTCCACTTTTTGTAAGGACAGGGTCTCACTCCATTGCCCAGGTTGGTCTCAAATTCCTGAACTCAAGCCATCCTGCTGCCTCAGCCTGCCAAAGTGCTGGGATTACAGGTGTGAACCACCACACCTGGCCTCCCTGACTTCTTGAGGCAGCACCTCTTCTCCCAGCAAAAGGGGCTCCTCCCCCCTGAACCCCCATGGCCACTTTTGACTTGGGGGACCAGCTTCCTCCCCAATCTTGTGATGATCCCATCTTTCAAATGTTTCTGGGCACCCCCCAATAGTACCCATCCCCCACGCCACCCTGCCTACTGCCCTGGAGACTCTGCAGGGCTGTGGAGCTGAGGGCAGGGTGCTGGGACCTGCCTCCCCATGTGGAAAACGGGAACAGCACACCAGACAGTTCCCCTCCCAGGGGAGTTGCAAGGGTAGAAAATGTAATGAAACCCTCAGATGCTGGATAGAGCAGGGCAGCTATGGGTTCAAATCTGACACCTTTACACTAACATCTCTCATTCCAGGGACCCCTGGTGGCAGCCACGTGACACTTGCTGCCAACCACAGGGCACTGCTGGCCATCAGGTGTGCCTCACCTGGCACGAGGAGTAAGCACGGCTCCAAGTGTCCTGGTGCCAGGCTCACCTCCCCTCACCTGCCCAGGAATACCACCCGTTAGTATTCAGAACACCCCTTTTACAGATGGAAAAAACAAAACTTAGAAAGGAGACATTTACCCTCAATCACAGACCAGCATCGCTGATAAATGCCCCAGGCTGGGGGTGAAGACGATGGGGAATGGGGAAGAGGATTTGGAGGGCTTGGATGCCCAGTGCTGAGCACGGTGTGGGGTGCAGGTGCAGGCCTGGGAAGACAGGAGACCTAGCTCTGCAGATTCAGCGTCTGTGAACTGGGCAAGGAGGTCATCACACAGCTTCAGTGTCCCAGGAGTCCTTATATTTACCCTATAGAGGATAGTCAGGGCCTGGGCGCATGGCCTGAGCTCACTCAATGGTGGGAATGACGCAAGAACAAGTTTTGGAGCCAGGATCCGGCCAACAGGGGCCGCTGTGGAGGCACATGTGGTCGCGGGGAGGCCAAGGGCCGCTCTGAAGGAGAGCGGGGGCGGCTGCAGCCTGGCAGTCACCTGGGGGTCACCCGCAGGCCGCAGTGCTGGCCAGGGGCCCACGTCTCATCCTGGAGGTCACTGCTCGGGTGCACACAGCCCCCTTCCTGCGGGCATCCAGCTGGGTGATGCCCCCGCCCTCTACCGCTGGACAGCGGGTCCCTGTCTTGGTTACGGCAGCTCCCCCAAACTTGCTCTGGTCCCTGGGTTAAGGGGTTAACCCGGGCGGCTGGCTTCTCCTTCCCCTCAAAGTCCAGACGCTTCAAGGTGGCGAGACGGGGAAACAGGCCAGAACGGGGTAGCTAGTTGTTCTCAGTCGCGCTAGGGGACCCGGTCCTCCGTATTCCAAGGGGGGCACCGTGGGCCATTGGGGAGCGACGGGAAAAGTGGAAAGGAGACGCGCTTCGTGCCCACCGCCCCGAGTTAGAGCCAAACCAGCCGTGGACCAGGCGAGGAGGAGCGGCTGCGAGCTGCGTCTCGGGTTCCCGCGCCACGTTTCGTGTCGCTGCGGCCTCCCGGCCAGTCCTCTCTCCTCTCTAAGCCTCAGTTTCCCGGTTTAGGAAAGGGGCTTCGAATCCTGCGGGTCTGGCACGGCTGGGGCAAAGGCAGAACAATCTGGAGGGCGACCGGGATTGGAAATCCGGGAAAGACTTCGACCACCCAACGTTCCCTGGGGGGACGCGGGAGCCTGGGGCTCAGGACGCGGAGGGTCGCTCCGCGGGGGAAGGGGACGGCCAGCTGTCTTGGCCAGAGGGGAACCGGACGGGATGACCTCATCCGCGTCTCCAGCCTGGAATGCGGCGGTCGGGGAGGGGGCAGGGTGCCTGTCCATCTCCCCGGGTCCCCCACCCCCTACTTCCCGCTCTCCGCGTGGGCCTCGGCGGAGGGGATACATTCCGCCGCGTCGCCCGCTCCCCGCCCCTGCCCTTCCTTCCCCCGCGCAGGAAGGCGCGGAGACAGCCCTCGCTCTGTCCCTCGGCTCGCCCCCTCCTCACGCAGTTTGGCCGCTGAGTTTCGTCCGATCCTCTGCCCCCTCCGCCCGCCCGGAATGGGACACGAAGCCCGAAAGTTCGGAGTTTCCCCGCGCGGCTCCTCGGCCGCGCCCGGCCTTCCCGTGGGCACCCGGGGGCGCCTCTCCCGGGCGGGTCCGGTCCCCGTCCCGGCCCCGAGAGCCTAGGAGGGTGCAGAGCCCTCGCAGGCGCCCGGACTCGCCCGCCTCCACGGCCTCCGCCCCGAGGACCCGCGCGCCCCAGCTGTTACCTGGCTTCGCGAGCCCCGGGGGCGCGGGACGAGGGTGGACTAGTCCTGCAGCGGCGGCGGCCGCGCGTCCCGGCTGGCAGCCCGGGAGAGTCGCTGGGCCGGTCTGCGCCGCCCTGGCCGCGGGCTCCGCGGGCTGGATCCGGGGGCGGGGGCGGGGTGTGGGCGCTCCCGCCTCCCGCCCGTCTCCTCCCGCCCCGCGGGCGGGGCCCGGCCCCCTCCCCGGCCCCCTCCCCGGCCCCCTCCTCGGCACCGTCCTCGCCGCCGCCGAGAGCTGGTGGGGACGCGACTGGGGGGCCAGGCCAGGCCTCTCTCCTCGCCACCCCGGCCAGGGTCAGACGGGGAACGTGCGGGCTGCCCCGGGGAGGCGACTCCGGTCCCCGGCCGCCAACCCCTCCTCCACCGGTTCCCCGCGTGGCCTTGGGGCGTCCAGGCCTGATGAACTCTCCTCCCTCCTGGGCCCTCCAGCAGCGCCCTGCGGGAGTTTGGGGAATCGGGAGGCTCGATCTGAGGCCCTGAATGCCTGGGCCTTTAAACTTTGGTGTTTACAAGCATGACATGCCCACCACTCCTTTCCTCCGGATTCTTTCCCTTCCACCCGGTACAGGCCTCGCGGTGCCCAGGAGGAAGACAGCCACACTGGGGCGACTGGTAGAGTCAAGGCCGGGACCCTGGAGCCGGACAGCCTGGGCTCCTGTCCTGCCTCAGTCACTACTTACCTTTCTCTGCCTCAGTTTCCTGATCTGAAAGTGGGATAGATAATAGCAGCATCAGATGTTGTGTCAAGTGTCCCCTGCTCCAAGAGCACCTAGGAGGCTTGCTTGGCAGGTAAATGAGGTCGCATCTCAGAGACTTTACAGATCCCGCCCCCCCACCTCCATGGGGGGGCAAGGAATCAGCCATACCCGGGACCCTGTGCCATCATCAAGGAGGGGAGATAGATTCTGGCCCCCGCCTCCTGTTGTCGTGCCCTCCTCTGACTACTCCCCTCTGACTATAGAGTCCTCGGGCTGTCAGGGCACAGGGAGGTCCCTAACACTGAGGTCCTGGGGCCTCAGGAAAGCTTCCTAGAGGAGATGATACCGGAGTTGTCTTTTTTTTTTTTTTTTTTTTTGGCGGAGTCTCGCTCTGTTGCTCAGGCTGGAGTGCCTTGGCACAATCTCGGCTCACTGCAGCTTCCACCTCCCCGGTTCAAGCGATTCTCCCTCAGCCTCCGGACTAGCTGGGATTACAGGCACCCGCCCACGCCCGACTAATTTTTGTATTTTTTAGTAGAGAGGGGGTTTCGCCATGTTGGCCAGGCTGGTCTTGAATTCCTTACCTCAGGTGATCCGCCTGCCTCGGCTTCCCCAAGTGCTGGGATTATGGGTGTGAGCCACTGCGCGGTTGTGAGTTAAGTCTTAAAGGACGTGTAGGCAGAGGGAAGGGCAATGGAAATGCACAGTGCACAGCTGGCAGGGAGACAGCACAGCAAAGGCTGGGAGCGGAGGACCCCGCAGCGGAGGCAAACCTGGTTGGAGGAGACTGGCTGAGCGCTGTTGTGGCAGGGGACGGACGAGGAGCTGTATTTACCCGCAGGTGGAGGAGACAAGGTCTTTACTGTTCACCCAGGGGCTAGGCCTCTTCCACGGGCTCCCTGAATCCCCATGCTGGCCGCCAAGGGAAGGAGCTATTCCTGCAGCTGGACAAATGAGGAAACGGAGGCACAAAGCATTCTAGCATTTGCTCAAGTGGCACAGCAGTAGGAACTCTTTCCCTGGGGGTCGGCCCAGGAGCATTTTGTCCCATGGAGAATTGAAACAGCATCGGGACAGTGAGCCAGCAGGCAGCACTGGCAGGTGTAGATTTAGAAGACTGACTGTTGGCAGACGTGGTTGCTCACGAGGGTAATCCCAGGACTTTGGGAGGCCAAGGTGGGCAGATTACTTGAGGCTGGGAGTTTGAGACCAGCCTGACCAATATGCTAAAACTCCGTCTTGACTGAAAATACAAACATTAGCCAGGCGTGGTGGCAGGTGCCTGTAATCCCAGCTACTCGGGAGGCTGAGGCAGGGAGAATTGCTTGAACCCGGGAGGCAGAGGTTGCAGTGAGCTGAGATCGCACCACGGCACTGCAGCCTGGTCAACAGAGCGAGATTCCGTCTTAAAAAATAAAAATAAAAAAGTGCCAGTTGCGGTGGCTCACGCCTGTAATCCCAGCACTTTGGGAGGCCGAGGCGGGCGGATTACTTGAGGTCAGGAGTTCGTGACCAGCCTGGCCAACATGGTGAAACCATGTCTCTACTAAAAATACCAAATATTAGCCAAGCATAGTGGTGGGCGCCTGTAATCCCAGCTATTCAGGAGGCTGAGGCAGGAGAATTGCTTGAACTTGGGAGATGGAGGTTGCAGTAAACTGAGATCATGCTACTGCACTCCAGCCTGGGCGACAGAGCGAGACTCTGTCTCAAAAAAACAAAAAACAAAACAGAAGTCTGACTGTGAGTGAAGAATGGACTGGAAGGACAGTGATGGAAGCAAATAACTAGTGATGCTGTGGTTGTTACTATTAATTGCATCAGGAGTAACCAGCACTTAATGAGCACCTGATGCATACCAAGTCCTGTAGCTCCTTAACAAGCATTATGACATTTAATTCTTGTGAGAGCCCCATGGGGAAAGTCCTGCCATGGTGTCCCGTTTGCAGATAAGTGAAGTGATTTGCGTAAAACCCCCTACTTTGACAGGATGGCCATACTTTCCAGTTTGCCTAGGACAGCCCAGACTACACATAGTGTTCCAGCGTAATTATTAATAGCACTTCCTTTCATTCTCAAAGGTGACCTGTTTAGACAATCAATTACACGTCACTCTAGTCAGAGGATCCCTAGAGCGGTGGTAAAGGAGGCAGTTTGGTACAATGTCAAAGGCCCTGAGCTCAAATCCCGGCCTAGTGGCTGACCGTGGGCAAAGCACTTGGCCCATGTGAACCTCAAGTTTCTCATCTCTGAAATGGGTATAATAGCAGTGTGGGTATTTACTAGTTGGGTGTTGTGAGCCCCAGGCAGATGACCGAGCAAGCAGTCCTGATGGAAGTGGCTACAACCTGCCCCATGCTTGCTCCATCTTCTTCACCCGTGGGCAGGGAGGGCCGGCAGGAAAGAAAAAGTGGTTGAGAACCTCCCTACTATATGCCACACGCTTTGTCTTCTCCAGCTCATTGACAGGAAACCTGTGAATCAGGAATTCTTGCCCCCTTTTACATCTGGGTAAGCTAAGGCAGAGAGGAGCCCTCTCCCTCCTTTTCAGCCTGTCTCCAGATAGAAATCTATCTCCATGTAGGCTGTGCCCTCATTCCTGGCTCCACTCCTGATTTAAGGATCTGACTCACGTTTTCCCTCTGGAAAACGGGAGAAAGGGAGAAGTTTCAATATCCCCAGGAAGGATCCAGGGTTGAGTAGTCTCCCTTTCTCATGCTTTTCTCCTCCCCCAATTTCCTGCAGTCCCCTTCCTTCCCTTTGAGAGGCTGTGCCCAGGAGTGCAGGGGTTAACCTCGGCAGGACTGTAATCACCGTGCAGAATGCAGAACAAATGCCTCCCAGCTGGGGACTGGGAGCTGCTAGGTGAACCAACTGCCCAGAGCTCAGGATCCCCTACCTCCCTGTCTTGAAGGAACCAGGCTCCTCAGGCTACAGTCCCAGAGCTCAGCTGCCCCCTCCACTCAGCCCAGCAGATTGGGTTGGCCAAGGCAAGGGGTCTAAGGGAAGGAGGCAGGTCCTGGGCAGGGAGCAGTCTATAGAGCCAGGGAGGAGGGGGCAGGCCACAGGTAGGGAGAAGTATTTCGTCCTTGGGGACCCAGGGATGCTAGTGGCTGCTTCCAGGTTCCAGGGAGGTTTGGGATGGGAGCCTTGAACTGAGGCCACAACTATTAGCCCCTCCCTAGGGTGCATGTCCCCTTTGTACCGCCAAAGTCTGGCTGGGCTTTTGGTCAGTTAATGCATCTGCTCATTGACCCACTGATTGGTCTTTCCTGTTCTCCAGCTCTTGAGTATCCACTGGTCCATCCATCCACCAGTGCGATTGCTAATTCATCCATCTACCACTGCCCACTCTCCTGTCCATCCATTTGCCCTCCCTTCCATGCACCCATTTACCCACCTACTTCCTGTCCATGTCTTGATCTGCCACTCACACACATCCAAGCACGGAACCACTTACTTACCCACCCCTCCATTGACACACTGCCTATCCCCCCGTTCATCCATCCATCCACTCACCCACCCATCCAGCCACCTACACACCCATGCATCCTTCCACTCCATCATCCATTTACCCACCTGTACACCCACCCACCCACTCTATCCAGCATCGCTTGATCCACTGCCCATACCCGTGGCCATCTACTCACCCACCTGTCCATCTAAGCCTTCCACTTCCATCCTGTAATGCCCTCACACTGACTCATACCTGGTCCCTGCTGACCAATATGGGTGTCTGAGCACATCTCCATCTTTCTCACATACATGCACTTCACTCACCTCATCAGTGGGTTACCTGGAGGCAAAATACCCTTGAAGACTGCTTTTTTTGTTTGTTTGTTTGTTTTTGTTTTTTTGTGAGACAGAGTCTTGCTCTGTCG